GATGACTTACTGGTGCTCAGAATTTTGACATATAAACTCCATATTCATGCAACATTGAAGATTGCTATTAGTAATAAATACGGGTCACCAATTATGGTAGTACAATTTTTTGAGACAGATCGTTAAATAATTATAACAATTGAATAGAATAAATCAGTGCTCCGCAACTGGTGTGCCATGAGTAGGATATAGGTGTGCCACAATCAAATACATGTATTTGACATTTTGCAATTTTTTATCATGTATTTAATACACAATGACAATTTTTTTCCCTTAATAATGTCTATTTTAAATGTTTTTATATATTTCACTGTTGTGTGGTTGTGTGTGTGATTGTAAGTGTGTCAGCATTTGAATTTTTTCGGCACTTCCTTGATAACTCGGAACTCAAAAATATATAACTTTTTTTTAAAACATAAATTTAAACGAAATATATTGGTTTCAGACCATTTTAATTAAAAATAATAGCTCTAAAACTGTTTTTTTAAAAATTTGAAATAAACCAATCAAATTAAAGAATTTTTGTTTTTTAATTTTTTAAAAAAAATTTCGCAGTCAGTAATAACAAAAAATGGTATACAAAAATTACTTGAATTCTAATAAATTTATATAAAAACAAGTTTTTATCAACAATTATTTTTAAATATACTATAGAATGATTATTATAAGTAAATAATTATTCAACGGTGCATCGTAAGATGGTTAAAAATTGCATAGTGTGTACGTGTACAACCAAGATCCACTTAATTGATCACAGATAAAGCAGAATACCTGTTATGCACATGTGTTATTTACACTGCCGTCCGGTGCATCACGTGCAACCATACGTTACTGTTGTCAATATTTCACAGCACAAAGTTAAATAAACACGTTTTTACCATTAAAGATATTTTATTATGTAAGCGGAGACATTATTCGTAGCCTTGGCTTCGTAAATTTATTTTATTTTTTTTTATTTAATATTTTATTTAGTTTACTTTCTGTCATTGAAATCAACCCTTCCGGGTTGTTTTTCCTTTTTAAATAAAAATAATAAGTTTTGCAATTATTTATAAATGACGGTTGCATCTGTCATAAAACTGTCATAAAACAAATAAAGGACGAATATGAAAGTAATAGCAAATGCTGTTGATTCAATGTTGCGTCGGTTTGTTGTTACTTTAAAACTCCTCTTTAATACGTCATCCTTCTGATCACCAGGTCATGCTTAACGAAGAATGTGGCGGCCATAAGACCACATTCTTGTCGTCGCACGACATATTATCTTACTGAATAATATTTTTGTTAATGTTCTTCATATAACATTTTTTTAGTTTTTACCCCTTTAATTATGGATAAATTTTTACGCCGGAAAGATTCTTCTTCACGTACAGATGATGAAGATCCACCTACAAGTGTTACAAAAAACCTGAAGAAAGTAGTGAAAAGAAAGTACGACGTGGATTACATTAAATATGGATTCTCGTGGTGTGGCGATGAAACATCACCAAGACCACAGTGCATCATTTGTGGCGATCAGCTATCAAACGAGTCAATGGTACCCAGTAAATTAAAGCAGCATCTATATTAAAGCCACCCCAGCTGCGCCAACAAAGGCAAACAATATTTTAAGAGGTGTTTAGAACAAAATAAAAAACAGAAGAAATTTATGAAGTCGGCCGTAACAGTTTCTAAAAAGGCACTAGAGGCTAGCTATCATGTTTCTAAATTAATTGCACGCCAGAAGCCACATACTCTCGGCGAATCGCTTATTAAACCAGCATGCATGGAAATTGTCCGACTTATGCTTGGGCCCAATGAAGCTGAGGAAGTGAATAAAATTCCATTGTCTGCTGATACAGTTAAAAGACGTATTTGTGACATGTCAAGCGATATTTTAGAAACATTGATTAAAAAACTGTTATCGGCTGAAAAATTTGCGCTTCAGATCGATGAAACAACTGATATTAAAAATTAAGCACAGCTGATAGCTATTGTACATTTCATTGATGAGGGCTTTATTAAAGAACATTATTTATTTTGTAAGGAGGTTCCAGAGCGAACAACCGGCGAAGAAATTTTTCGAGTAACTGATGATTTCTTCAAAATTTGTAATATTCAATGGAGCAACTGCATTGCTGTTTGCACAGACAGCGCTGCGGCAATGACAGGTAGTAGAAAAGGGTTTGTCTCTTGTATGAAACAAAAAAATCCGACGGTACATTTTACACACTGCTGCATACATCGAGAAGAATTGATGGCCAAGAATTTACCAGAAAAACTTTTGAACACGATGAATGAATGCGTCAAAATCATAAAGTTAATTAAATCAAGAGCCACAAATTCGTGAATTTTTGGATTACTTTGCACAGAAATGGGAGCTGAATATGAATCATTATTGTTTTATACAGAAATTCGCTGGCTATCCCGAGGGAATTTCTTTTAACACATAATATGCTCGAAATATGCCAGCACCTCGATGATGATTACTGGATAGCCAAGCTTGCATACATGGCTGATATATTTGAGCATTTGAATGAACTTAATAAAAAAATGCAAGGTCGAAATGAGAATATTTTAACGTGCTCCGATAAATTACAAGGATTTATTAAAAAACTCGAACTTTAGGAGAAAGAGTTGCAAAAAGGATGTTTAGAAATGTACAGAAGGACTAATTATATTACAACCGAAAACAAACAATCAATTCTGGATCTGGCCCAACAACATTTAAGTATGCTTCAGCTGAAATTTGATCAATATTTTTTATTCCATTAATACAGAACAATACGATTGGATTCGAAATCCTTTTGCAAACAATGTAATAAATTCTATGGAAGCGCTGCCTCTAAAAATTCAAGAGGAATTTACAGATTTGAAAAGTGACACGACTTTAAAATTATACTTCTCTGAAGTTCCATTAGATGTTTTCTGGATTTACGTTAAAAAAGAATATCCTCATATTTCCGAAAAAGCAATTTTAACATTACTTCCATTTTCTACGACATATTTATGTGAGCAAAGTTTTTCAACTCTATTATTAATTAAAAATGATAAGCGGTCATGCTTAAAAGATCTTGACCAAGAACTTCATGTTGCGTTGTCAGATATTGAGCCGAATATAAAACTTTTGTGTTCATTGAAGCAAGCGCAGGTATCACATTGATAATTATTATGATTGCATATAAATAAATATGTTATGGTTTTATAATTGTATATTTTTCAAATTAAAAACAAAAATTTTATTGTAAATTTTCTGTATAAATCAATACATATATACATTAGCTTTTGGTGTGCCACGAAATTCCAGAAAGATTTTTTGTGCGTCGCAGGTGAGAAAAGGTTGCGGAGCACTGGAATAAATATTATTTTGTTTTTGGTTGCTATTATTTTGTTTTTGGTTACCAGACTGGCAGAGTTGAGTTGTAGTAGGCAAGTTGCAACATGTCTATTTATCTATAATGTATATTAAACTTTTAATTGTTTAAAAACTGTACTTTTTAAAAACACTTATATAAATATGTAAAATAAGTAACACCTTTTTAACTAATTCTAGATCATCGTATGTCTGAATATTTTTGCCGACACAGATGCATTCCGAATGCAAGGCTAGTGTAGTTAGGTAGTGACTATTCTTAATATATTTTTGAGTATTTTATGGCAGATTCAGCATTTTATTATTATTTGCATTATTTTCTTATTACGAATATATTCTATACATTATATACTGAAAGTTTTTTTTTTTTTTTTTTTTGGGGTGGGGGTGCCAAAAAGGTATTTTGCCCCGGGCACCAGTTATGCTTGCTACGTTATTGCCTTATGTCACTGACATTGTTGACTAGTTTTTGATAGCTCTTTGCACAACGCATTTACGCAGAAGTGGCTTATCATGGTCTGATTGAAAAATGAATGCAGTAGATTAAATTTAGAGCTTGATCTAAGAAAATTTGGAAAGGATATTCACCTATCAGACACTGTTATCTACAATAGTGTCAGTGCTTTTGCTGAAAAACTCGGGACTCGTAATCCCAATTGTAGAATTACATTTAAAATTTTTGATAGAAAAAAAAATTGCTCATCAGAAGCTGAGTAGCAAGATGACCACATGTTGATGGTTTAAATTAAATTAAAATTCAGGTGAACAGATTTTTAATGGTTTATTCCTGGGTAATGAGAATATAAATCTAGGAATACCTTTCCTTAGTAATGTTTCTGTGCTTTACCATGATTTACTAAATAAACAAGCAAACAATTGAGCCCCCCCCCGAAAAAAGGAGTTATTTGTTTACTCTTCCCCCTTCCTCTGCTTCTGAATAAATTCTCTCAGAAAAGGCTTAAACTTTTTCTTGTGACATTTTGCTGCAAAACTGTTTGTTTGTTAACTTACATTGATTCCTAGTAAGAGGTAATGCTGCTGATAATAAAAGAAATCATTAAATAATTCTCTTACTATTGACATATAATAATAGAATAAGTTAATACACCTACTTATGAGCTGGTTTTGCTCTGGTGAAAATTTCATGGCAGTTGCTTTAACGACATATAAAACAGTTGTTCTCTTTGTCAACTTTATCACAAAAAACCCTATTCCTGCAGAAATTTTATCGCATTTTCTTTCATTCTTGAAAAATTTCACGAGTGCATATTTTAAAATTGAGAGTAAAACTAAAAGTTTCACCATCTATAATGACCATTGGAACTTAGAATACAACAAAATGTATAAAGAAATGCAGTAGTCCTTAATGAGAAATCTTGCCTGGAGAATTGTTATGGGCATGGTTGGTACAATTTGGCATGTTCTGAAAATTTGCCGAATTTTACTAAGATTTTTGTGATAATATGTGACTATGAAAAATAATTCTGCTAAGTTGTATTACATTTGTAATCATTAGTATTCAGAAATTTATGTATATTGTTAAGACAAATATTTAAAATATTTGCTTTTAAAATTGAAGTACATTATTTATGCATTTATTTGCCAAATAACTATTTCTTAATTTTACAATCTGTATTATGTGTTTTAGTGAGTTTCTGGCAGAGGAAAATCCTGAGTTATTTTGGAAATTTTTGAAAGATTGTTCAAAACTAGAGTCCAATTTTTTTTATAAAAGTAAGTCTTGGTCAATTTTAATATTGTTTATTAAATTCTGACGTTTAGTTTAGCTGAATAATTATTTTACTTTGTGATGTATTTAATTTAGTAGTTTTGAGATGTATGCACATCAAGTAATCATATGTTATATATTTAAAATTAGTGTGCATTCTTAATTTCTTATAATCATAAAGATAATATTTATTCAAAAATAATACTTTTATAATTGAAATTTCTGTAACATACAAAAATTTATTGTATATTATACTTTAATTATAATTAAACATTGCATGCATTCTCATTTGGAAAGCCTGAAAAGAATAATTAATTTTTAAAAATCTATTGTGTGAATTTTTTTTTATATTTTAAATTTATTTTTATAACATTTTAGCATTCGGTTTTGAATATTTCATTTAAAAAATGGAAAATTACAATAGTACTTTTCAGATTTTTTCAGATTAATATTAGATAAGTATGAGGAGTTCATGATTGTAGGACTCGTATAGTCTGAGTTAAAGAAAAAAAAAAAAAAAAGCTTTTTTATTACGAAGAAAGTATATGCTATTGCTTGAACTAGAATTTTTTGCATAAAATCCTTGTAAGAATAAATGGTGATATAAAAAATCTTTTAACCAATTTTTCCATGTTTTATCTACTATAAAAATAAATGAATATGTGCTCTTTGTGTTCATCCGTGGTTGAGAATTTAGTCATAAATTATAAAAATTAATGAGTTAGTTGAAAAATATAGTTCCATAAATTTTTTAAACATTATGGTCACCAACTTTAAAAACATTTTTAAAAAAAGCCATTTAAATTCGTCTTTATTCTGTTTATATAGCTTTATAAAGAAAAATGAGCCCAGACAGATTGTAACATTAATCTGTATTTTAATTAGATAGACAGGGTTGCCACACTACCTAGAAGACCTGAAAAACTGGAAAAAGTCGAGGAATTCGGAAACTGACTAAAAAAAGTCGGGGAAAAATCGGGGAATTTAAATATTTTAATCAAAATCTGGAAAGTCTGAAACTTTCATATGGGCATTTGCGCCAAAAAGTGATTTTTAAACCAGTGTTGGAAGTGATCAGTTTTCTTCATGAATTATGTATTGCATGAGCGTCATTCAGGCAGCTGATGTAGAGCCAGTTTTTGCTACTGCAATCAGATTGTCTTTTAGAAAGGCAAAGCAAATTTTCAGCAACTCTGGTTTCCAGTAACATCGAGAATCGAGAGATTCACATGGGTATGTGCAGTGCATGTTGAACAAAAGAAAATGTCTTTCCATTCTCGTATAAAACAAAGTTGGTTCATTTCCAGTATACAGTACACACAGGATTTGGCAACATTATTATGAGCAGTAAACCAGTCATTTATGATGAGTAATAAATGGGTCACTTTGGTGTTGGCGACAATTTTCAAAATTATGTCAATGATGTCCTGTATACTAGAACTTTCCCACAGAATCTTTTAACCCTATTTTATCTTTTTAACAAATGTCTTATTTGTCATTTTGTAGTAAAAAAAAAAAAAAAAAAAATAGTAAGCAGTCATTTAGGCTAACCGTTTAATATAACTAACTATATTCGCCAAGATATCATTGGTTATTGTAATTCAATTTAAGTAATCAACTTTATTTTACTGTTATTCATATAATTTAATGTTGTTTCTTCCCTCTGTTGCTTCTACCCTCTATCTTTATTATGAGTTAATAATCCTTTCAAATTTTAGGCAATTTTCTCTGGTGTACTTCTGCAACTAATTCTAGCAGTATGATGACATACCATCATGGAATTTAATGCACATATATTTTGCTTATGTGTGCTGCTAAATAAATGTAAAATACCTGAATTTATTTAAAAATATCATTAAATAGATTTCTTTCTTTCACTTAGCTGCGAAATATCTCCAAAAAAAAAGACATTTTTTAATCCTGATTAGGCAGATTCTAATCTCAATCTTCAGTGGAGAAAGCAACTGCGATTATACTTATAATAGTAATGCTTTGGGAAAGCAATTTTGTCATATGTAATTGGCAAATTGTGTTTTCAAGTCATACCATAATTAATTTACCTCTCAACACAGCCAATGCGCATTATGCCGATAGACTGGAATTTTCTTAAAATACACCTGGAAAAGTCAGGGAGTGGCAACCCTGGATAGAGGGACATTGACAGCATATGCACAGGAGAGAAAAGGAAGCATTGCATATACATATATACAGCAGAGGAGAGAGATAGCATCATCGTGGATTGCCTCAGTACAGGCAAACTACACATGGATCTTGAAAAGCCAAGCTATAATTTAAATAGCAGGTGTTATAATCTAACAATCCCTCTTTTGACGTTTGGCAGCTAACAAAATAAGCATTAATTATTTACAGTCATTCCAATCAATTTACATCACTTAGAGTGTTAAAGAGCAGTCAATCAGTAGGCAATTTCTCTGTTGGCATATGCTTAACGTCTGTTTCATTTCTCTCGTAAATCTCACGTGTGAAGTCATTAATATGGGTATATTTAATGTGTGAGTGGTAAACTGAGTTTTTTCATAAGCTTCTGTGCACTTTGATTATCACAAGTAATGGTTGGATATTCAGCATTAAAATTTAATTCTTTGAGAAAACAACATAAATAAACTGCTTCTTTAGCACTCTCTGAAAGCCTGATGTACTGTACCTCAGTACTTGATAATACAATAGTTTGTTGCTTTTGTGGAGATTTCCAGCAAGTTTGAAACATAACCTGTGTAAGATTTTCTAGTATTAACATCATATGCCCAATCAGCATTGGTATATCCAGTAAGTTTTTCCCAGTCTGAAATTTTAGGCAATAATTTTTAGCTCTTTCAAGTATCTAAGAACGTTCTTTGCAGCAACCAGTGTAATTTTCCAGGATTGTCATTAAATTGTCTCAGGTGATTGATAGCGTATCCAGCCTAGTAAACATGGAAAGATACATATGCGAACCAGTTAGATGGTGATGGGGTACCGTACTCATTTCTTACCTTTCATTTTCAGAAGGATAAATTTCTTTACTTAATTTTACACTAGTCTCTAAAGGAGTTACTACTTGTTTTGCATCTTGCATATTAAACCTTTGAAAAATATTATTAACATATTTTTTCTGAGATAAACCAATAGAATTATTATTTACATCTTGATCAAATTCTATTCCAAAACAGTAATGAAGTTTGACTAAATATTTAACATGAAATTATTTAGAAAGATAATCTTTTAAGTTCAGCATATAAATCACAGTTAGCTGTTGCTATTGTTAAGTCATCTACATATAAAATTAGAATTAACTCACCTTTCACCTTGAGATGTTTTCATCTTGTAAACACTATCTAATTGTAATGGTTGTAATCCAAATTTTTTTACTTTTTGTCTATTGTTTTAAAGTTGTAACTATTAAAAAGTAATTTAAATTATTAACTTCCAATTTAATTCCTATTTCTGACTTTTTGCTTGATGATGGATTATTAACATAGTCATTTGTTCAAGAATGCAAAAAAAAAAAAAAAAAAAAAAAAAGGAATTTTAATATTTTAATTCTGTTTCGATTCCTAGTTCATGTTTTGCTGAAATCGTTAAGCATTTTAATCCATCATTAACTCTGTATTAAAATTTCCTTTCTTCAACTGAAACTGTATTTTTAGCTTTCTTCTGTAGCATTTTCCACATGGTTGTATACCATTTACCTCATTCTGGTTACTGCATTTACATAGTGTACAGGTGTTTTCCTGAAATATACCTCGGTATGGTAGGTACTCATTATGTGTACATACTTTTTAATTTCTTAGGCTCTCTGTGATAAAGTTATAAGCAGATTACATCCAATTTTCTGTATGCATTTCCAACGAAATGTCTGCTTTGTGGAATATCTGTACCTGTGTGAGCCGACGTCTCGTAATTAATAGTTCCCATAAGAGGGATAACTGGCATCTTGCTCATTTTAAATCACTTTATTTCTACTGTTAAATATTTTTGCTCTTTCCTCAGTACAGGCTTTGCTATATTGTTGAAATATTCTTTGTGAATTTAGAAGGCTGCACATTCTCCAATCGTAAAAATTCTAATTACCTTTTGGCATTGTATATGTATGTAGACAAAGGTGCTGTCATGATAGTATGACTGCTACACTTTATTTATGCTGAAGCAGCTGTTATTCTCTTCAAACTTTCAGAAGAATGTCTCTTTTCAATATGAGAATCTAGAATACGTAAGATAATCTGTTTTGAGAGATTTGCTGTCTCTTGAAGTGCCTGTATGTTCGGTATGATAATTTAAGTATTCATAAAAATTCTTTTTGGATGTCGCTCTTACACACCCCTTCCCCGAAAAAAGCAGCCTAATATTATGTAGAAATAAAGACTGTAAACATTAACAAATATTAAAAATTTTCTACTCTCTATAAAATATATCAATGAGCACTCTTAATTATTGTATGAAGAGAAATTGTGCAAAAAATTTCAATTAAAAATAATTGATAAAAGGAAGGATTGCAGTAAAAAATCTAAATGATAGAAATGTGTGTTTATCTCCATTTTATACTACAGTTGATATTAATAATTGAGTTATTAAGGTTCCATTAAGCTATATCATAAAGGAAAAATAAATCTTATTTTCACCATCATTTAAAAAAATAGCATATTTTAATTTGTTTGCAAAATATTTAATTTTTGTGTGTATAAATTTGTGTATATAATTATTAATATCTTTATTTTCAGAATCAGCCAAACTGCAGTATGAAGCCATAATTGATATTAGCAGCAATTATCTTTCATCTACAAAAATATCACTACTTAAATTCTCCTTAGCTCTGCGAGCCTATTCACCAGCAGTTGAATTGTTTCACCAAGTTAGTATAGAAGCAAGTTTTTAGAAATAAGAGAAATGTAGTTTGGATTTTTATAGCACTTTTAAGTTATTAGTTTAATATTTTTCATTCAAATTTTCTAAAAATTAATTTAGCCATTGAATATATTGAGAACTTTATGAAAACTATTATTTATTTAAAAATATATTACAGTTATGAGTAGATTTGCTACATTCCATTTATGCCCCAAAATAATTCTGATATTTTGAAGCATTTTCAGATTTTCGTGCTTTAAAATCTTGTGGGATAAAAATTACTACAGAATTTACCTCTTCAGATATGGAAATATCTTTTGTTTTTGCTAAATTAACTTTTCCAGAGGATTTGTGTTTGTCAAAACTTCTTTTGGTATGGATTTATCTTCTGATGATTCTGTTGGTTCTGTAGGAATTTTCTCTTCTGTATCCAATTCTGATAACATTTCTGTTTCTTCTGGATTTTTTTTTTACACTGTACAATGAAGTGTCCAAATTTATGCCATCTATGACAAGGTCCTATCTTCACATTCCCCATTTTCTTCTTAAATTTAGTTTTATGTTCTATTCTATTTTCCCCTGAATTTGTGCAAATAGTATTAAATACACTCATCATACTGTCTACTAAATTGGCATGTATTTGACAGAGCTGACTTTCATCCATTATAAGTTCTTTAGTTAATTTTTGAAAATTAAAAAATCCTTCTTCTTCCACCTATAAATTTCTTCATCTGGTGCATACCTGTTGCTGAAAATTCATGTAGTAGCTGGATTTTTCAAGCTCTGTTTTCGGTTCATATTACTTCTGCAAGACCTCCAATGTTTCTTTACCACTTGAATATTCTTGTATCAATAGACAGAACTCTGTTTAATTCCCTAGTATAATGTAGTGAAAGCTTTATTTTCTCTTAGTGTGAAAAACATGCTTTTCATGCCTTAATCCATTTATGGGCAATTTTTCTTCTATGGAGTTTGAGCAATTTCTGTCCACCAACAGCATCTTTATGTGGACTTTCCATCAGTCCCATTTGTCATGGTTTAATAGTTCAAACTCTTCTGGTAGTAGGGGCATCTTTAGTTACATGCAAGTACAACAACTAGAATTAACTTCTAAAATATGACTGCCTTCTCGTTTTCATTTTTAGTTGTCAGCAGCCCACTTCACTTGCATTCGTTTAACTCTGAGATGCCTGGACCCATAATCTCTCAGCATAGGAGTTGTAGCAATCTGTTGAAAAGCAGTTTGCTTTCGTTTTAGATGTGAAAACACTGTAGTATACCTAAAACAAAACTGACATTTATTTTATGCACAGTTAAAAACAAGTAGACTGCAACAGCAGTTTTGACATAAAACCAAAGCAAAATATTAGAAACAAGCAACTGCACAAGTTCACTAACTTCTTAGTTAAAAATACGTCTTGACACAATATCGGCCAATCTGCTGAAACTACATCTTTGACCAATGAGTGACAACCACATTAATTTACCACTGACTGGCCTCTGATCTAAATTTGCATGAGGAAAAGCCAACAAGAATCACCAAGCAAAGTTCTATGTCGCCAAAATAGACAACCCAGAATGTTAGGAAAAGTGTGTTTATTTAGTAGCCCACTAATGATTGCACATGCATCACATGCTGGTGCAGTGTGCACAGTTTTGGAATTCAAGGATCATGTTTGTTATGTGTGCTTGTTAGTGATTAGTGTCTGGAGTTTTTTTTTATTGAATTTATTATTGTAATGCCTTAATGAATTGTAATGCCTCTTTAAAGTTTGCCTGCATAGTTCTCCTATGCACTATTTCCTAAGACTAGCTGAATGGCTAGCTTTTATTTATCTCAAATGCTACATTGTTAGAGAAATCTTGCGGCTTGAAAGTAGCTTGTCAAGTTGTTCATATGAGACTGTGATAATAGCATTTCTGAATAAGTGCAATTCCCTGATGTTTTTTAATTGATAATAGGCTTTCTGAATTTACACAATTCTCTGATATTTTTAATGATAATAGTTTTTCCAAATATGTAGAGTTCTCTGATTTTTTTTTCAAGTTAAAAACAGGTGGATATATATCGAGAGAGCAGTGCCAGCTGGCTTTACAATGCTAAGAATTCTGCAAGTCTCTGATAAGTTAAAATAGATTGCACATGCACATAGGCTTAGATCCAAGGGGGGGGGGAATTTAAGTGTATTATGGATATTTGTTGCATTCATAGTTAATTAAATGTTAGAAATTTAGTTAAATATTTTATTATGGATGTTTAATTCATTTTTAGTTTTATATAATTTTCAGTGTTTCATCATGGATGTTTCGCGCATTTTTAATTTCATTAATTCATTGCTATTTTATGGAATTTTCAGTGTCCCACCATTTTTTTTTAATTGCTGTAATTTTTCATGTGTTAAGGTAGTGGAAAAATAAGCTGCTAAGGATTGGCAACTTTAAGGGAGGGTTGGGTGGGTATTAAGAGATTACCAAAAATTTACCTACTTGATGATCTATTTTTATATTAAATTTTGGAGAAAATGGTGTTTTTACAACATGTGTAGATTGCGTTTTGAATTATAGAGATTAGATTTATGCTTGATTTGTGCTCATCATTAGATTTATGCTTGAGACAAGACAGATATGAAAGTAACACAGGTTCTTACATTGTAAAATGTGGCTTGTTTAAAATATTTTAAACTTTTTTATTTCTTTGAAAAGGTTTTATTTTTATATTCTGTAATTAAATTAAAATCTCTTAAAAATATAATAGGTTTTACATTTCCCATCATTTTAAAAATGGAAGCATGTCTGGCTTTAATTAGTGATTTTTTAAAAAAATATCTGCTGATTAAAATCATTGTTGTCATATGTTTTGTGCCTTTTTTTATGTTAGTGTTTAATTGTACTGGCACCTACTAGTTACTCAAATTTAAATCTGTCATTAAATGAAAGTCATGCTTTTAGTCCAGCCTAAGATCTCATAATTATGGAGCATAAAAATGCAGTACTTTTAAAAGCTGACGAAATTGTCTTGGTTACCTGGTGTACATACCTCCTTCATGAAACCTTCTACACACGATTGACGTTAACACCAACCTTCCAGTGACTGCAGCACGGGAGGATCTGAGTTGAGAATTCATTCCATCGTGTGCATAACAATAAATATCGCAGCTCGATGTAGTGGTTGGTCATCCTTTGCTAACCTCCCAGATGCTGAATTCTGTGGTTAGAAATTGTTGCTTAACCACAGAAGGGCTCACATTTAGCCACTTGGCCATTTCTGTCTGACTTTATCCTGCCTATAGTCTCCCAGTAGCTCTCCATTGTAGTTCTTCGAGCAAATGATGCCTACAGGTCATTGCTACAAATCGGCTTTCCCAAATTTATTATCTCAGTATCACAGCAAAATCTGCAACATGCAATTTTATGCTCCTCACAGATGATGTATTTAAAATGCAGTGCCGTTATTGCATACTGCAGTTTTACTCAGCAATTCTTATTTGACAGTATGTTCAAATTTTATATGGATTGGCTTATTTTTAAATGAGTTATTGCTATTTTTATGATTTTTCCTTAATTTTGGAAACCAATATAGTTATGATGATATAATAATATTATAAATATGATGATGGTTGATAATTATTCTTTCAAAAACAAACAAAAAAAAATTTAAAGAAGACAGTAAGAAGCAGGAGTTTCCTGATTGTCTGCTTGAAGTAGAAAGCTATCGATTGATCAGATTTTCAAAATGTTTGCTTGCAAAGGGCTGGCATAATACAGATGTATGATATATCTCAAATATCCTAGAAAAAATGTTGCACATTTTCTTGCCTCATGTAGTCAAATGGTTGCCAGCCAATTTTTTATTAAAAAACTTGTGATTAACAATTTGATAGTAAGCTGTTCTTGCCGGAGTTCTTACAGACTCATGAATTAAGCATGGTTACAAGATTATTGGTTTCAGATAAATGGAATGCCATTTTACAGAACATGGTTTGATTATAATATGATATATTTGCCATTCAGGACAAAAATCATAATCTTATAGGCTATTCAAATCACTGTGCTGATTGCATTGAACTAGCCTCCATTCTTCTTGGATTTGAATCAGCTTAATGTTTTTCCTGTGAGCCTTAACTAGTATAATAAGGTCTCTTACAAGGCCCTCAAATCAACTGAAGACCTAAAATGGTCTTTCTTAATGCTTTTGATAGGCTCCATAGTGATAGCTTGCTAAATGTCATCAATAATTATAATGGGCATTTTCATCATGACTCTCATCTCTGGAAGCAATCTTTTTGTAAACTTCATCAGTTGATTACCTTTTATTTTGAGTAAATGCAGAAGTTGTAATCTTTTATCACCCTTTTTAAATAAAAATTTTTTTTATTGCCTCCCTATACTCTATGACTATATGTTAGTTATGAAACATCAGAGGGTAAGAATATTTCACATTGAGAGAAGCACTATATGAGATAATTTTTGAAATAAAAGTGTGACTTTTTGCAATGCAAGTTTGGGATTTGGGTATAGGTTTGTTGCTGTTTTGAACCTAAGACTTTTGATATTTTTTCTCTTTGCTATAACTTGTTTGTTTGTGTGCTCAAATACAGGAGAATAAATATTCCAGTGTTATAAATATTTAACAAATGAGATTGGTTTCATTACTACTGCTTTCATAGCTTCCATAGTTAATTTTTCCAGTTATTTTGTTAAATTTTTTGTATTGCAAAACATTTTTCTTTGCATGTCTAGTAATTTGTCTAGTCTATTAAATTAATAAATAAATGTTTGTATTTCTTCTAAGATTGCCTATGATCAAAAGTTTCCTGTTAAGTGTGAAGCTATAGCTGATGTTGGTGGTAGTTATGCTTGTGATGCTGAAAATTTGAAATCTCTTCTTTCATCTTCAACAAGGTATTCTAGCTTTAAGATTTTAAATTGATTTTGAATAATAGTAGTAGCATTGAAAATTGAATTAATTAAGAATTATAAATATGCAAAGAAAGTTTAATAGTGAAATGTGTTTTTGTTTTATGTGTGGTATACTATTTTGAAATTATTAATTAATCTTTAGAGATTTATATTTATTTATGACTAACAAGTTACATTTAAGTTAATGCTGTAATATCTTGTTATTTAATAAATAAATATAAAATAAATATATTATTGTTGAAGTGGCAATGCCATATTTGTATCAAACAGTTACTCAGCAACGAGAGATATTGTTTAAAAAAGATTTAGTATTCTAAAGATTTTGCCAGCTAGGAGTAGTATTAAAATTTTGCCACTTAAGAATTGTATAAAATTTGTCTATCACCGAGAACTAGAAATAAAATTTATGTTCTACTAAGAAGATTGTCTGTTTTGTAAATTACTGCAAAATACATTACAGTCATAATAAATTGGAGGTTCCACCGAGATACTGGAAATTAGGAGTGTAATTATCAATTTCGATGGTGCTGGTCTCCTAATCCCAGAAATTTACTGAATTTTTTAGAACAAGTTTGCTAATACCAATTGCCAAGTTTGTTTATTTCAAGGAGAAATGGATGTAAGAAGTTTGCCGTTTTAAAGCCAGATTTGAAGCGGATCATTCAAAGGTTATCTTCTGTGCTTCTGTAACTTGAGTCCGAGCAAAAACTGTCAAAAATAGGATATTGCTGATCTCTGAAGATAAGATTAACTTTTGGTTTTCTTAAAAAAGCTTTTATTGAATTTTAATACTTTGTTTCAGAATTATAGTTTATTGTGTAAGATTTTGTTTAAAATAACTGACGCTAAAAATATTCAGCTTAAATTTATAATTGGTATTTGTGGTAAAGAAGTATTTTGAAATTTATTATTTATGCTTTACTTTTATTTGTATTGAATTTTTATGTTGATAAATGATATGTGTAAGCCATCCCGGCATTTATAAAAAAAAAAGAACTGCTAGCTGAGGTTTTGAATTTGTTGCCAAGCAGGTGCGTGAAAAATAAGTAATAACGTCAAACTGACGTAGTGTGATTTGATTATACTGCTGAATTGGCAAAGATGTTTTCTTAGTTCTCGCCATCCAGGCGTGTCATAGATAGTAACATCATCCCGACGTATTACAGATTGTATATTCTAAAAGTTGTATTTCCAAACTGGCAAAAATTGTTTTTGTTATCGCCAACCAGGCGTGGAGATAGATAGTAAAGTCGTCAAACTGACGTGGGTAAAATTCCATTGTATTGCCTAACAGGCAAAGGTGTTTATATAGTTATAGCTAACGAGGCTTGTGAATAGTGAGTTAAAACGTCAACCCGACATAGTATTATAGTATTTTGTGCCAACCTGGCAAAAATTATTAAAGTTGTTTAAATAATTCTCTCCAATTGGTTAGTGTGAATTTCTTATTTGAGAAATTAAGTCTCTCCAAAAATTATATATTTTTAATACAAGTACGAGCTTTTAGATTGTATTTTTAAAGGAAGCCTATTAAAGGTAACTTGTGTCAACATTTCATTCTTAGCTAGGAGTAAAAAACAGGATTTAAAGGTACTAGCAGAAGAGTTAGGTTTAACCTTGAAACCTGAATTTAAAATTGCTCAATTGCATAAAATGATTACTGAAAGTCCTGATTATGATGAGAAATTTACTCGAGAACTACTGGCTGCAATTAGAGAAGAAAGGGAAAGAAAATAAGAACACGAAAGAGAAGAAAGAGAAAAGGAACGCGAAAGAGAAGAAAGAGAAAAAGAACGTGAAAGAGAAGAAACAGAAAGGAGAGAAGGACGCGAAAGGGAAGAAAGAGAAAAAGAAGAGAAGAACGCGAAAGAGAAGAAAGAAAAGAAGAGCTTGAAAGAGAAGAGCGAATTAGAGCCTTTGAGCTACAGAAACTTCAGCTGGAAGCAATGGCTGCCACAGCACAGCCGGTAGAAACTACGTAGTTACCTGAGCAGCCTTTTAAAATCAGAATTCACGATGTCATGCCACGTTTCAACCCTAAAGAAGATGAAATAAGTTTATTTCTGGTGTTATTTGAGGGTCAAGCTAAAATAATGAATATACCTGCTGAAAATCAAGTGACTCAACTTATTTCATTGCTGCCTCCTGACATTGTTCAGCTTATTGCTAGAGAACCAGAAGAGGACACGAAATAGTATGAATATGTAAAAACTTTACTGTTACAATGATTTAAATTGAGTGCGGAAAAATTTGGACAACTATTTAATAAACACAAAAATCTACTGAAAGTACTTGGTATGATTTCTACTATGAATTAAAGAATTATTTAGAAGGATGGCTTAACGGATTAAACATTAAAACTTTTGAACAGCTAAAAGATCTCATGCTGGTTGATCAAATAAAAAAAGCGTACTTCTCCTGATTTCAAAGAACATTTTATGGATCAATGGATAACTATCATTTCACCTACTGAAATGGTTAAGAAAATTGAAGATCTTGAAGATGTGAGAAAAACAATAAAACCGAAATTTTCTACCAATTAGACTGAGAAAATTAACAAAGGATCATTTAAACCACGTTACGATAATTTTGTGAAAAAAATAGAGCATACGCCTCATTTTAAGCATTCTGATAGATGGGATGATTCCAAATACAAGAGAGATCATCATCAAAGGAATCAGTTCCAAAACAAAAACCAAGAAAATGTATATGACAAAAGATATCGACCACGTTGTTTCGAGTGTGGATCATACGAACATTTTAAGCCTCAGTGTCCTTGCTTAAAACCAAATGAAAAGATAAATTGCGTGTCTTCGAATGATGATTTGTTAGAGACATATACACAATTAACGGTTTAGTGAATGGGTATGAAAATGCCTATTCTTTCGAGACACAGGAGCTAACTGTTGATGTTATTTCTCGGAAATATACATAGATAACGCAAAAATGACTGGAGAACATGTCTGGGTACAATATCTTTAATTGTTTTGAAGTTTATTTTAAATGACCATTTAGTGTGTCTAGCCGTTAGCGGAAGTTGAAATTAATTGCGAAACTTGGTCATATAAAGACAAAGGCAGCTGTTGTTACAAATGATCCCAGGCAGATATGTATTGGGTAACAAAACTGCCCAATTGTTCAAAAATAAATCATTCTTAAATTTAGAAAAAAATAAATGCAGTTTTGACACGATCTCAAGTAAAAAGATCTCGTGAACAAGATCGAAATAGAGAAACCGAAATGGAGAAACTAGAAGAACTGACGTTTATTGACACTGACGAAGATATTTTACCGCAAGCTGATGAGGAAGACAAGGAAATTAAGAAAGTGATTAATGTTAATTCAAAGGAATTAATTGAATCTCAGCATCAAAGCAGAGATCTAGCGTCATTGCTTAACAAAGCTAAAAATGAAAATTCCAGCAAGACAAATGATTTCAAAGTAAAAGAAAACGGATTGTTAGTGAAAAGGAAAATAGATAAAAAATGGAAATGAAAGGGAATTTATTGTTATTCCTGAAAAATATGGGGATCAAATAAAGTCATTATGTCATGATAGCACATATCTGGACATTTAGGCATCGTCAAAATAAAAAACTAAAGATAGATTATTAACAAGATACTTTTACTGGCCTAATGGCTATAAAGAAATAGAAGAGTATGTTAAAACTTGCGATCCATGTCAAAGAGTGGGAAAATCTAATGATAAAGCCAAAGCACCTTTGACTTTAGTACCAATTATTGCATAAGTATTTTCAAAAATTAACTTTGACGCATGCGGTCCTTTACCAATAACACTGAATGCCAATAGATATTTAATTACAGCTATTTGTTTAGCTTCAAAATATCTGGATGCTGTACCTGTTCCTAATATTGGCACAACGTCAGTAATTGAAGCCATGTTACAAACATTTAGTAGAATGGGTTTCCCGAAAGAAATACAAACTGATCAAGGTGCTTCCTTTATGAGCTATCTAGCCATTGAATTTATCTAGCCATTGAAAAATTTGGAATAAAAGTAACTAGAAGCTCAGTACACCATCCGCAGAGCAACCCTGTTGAAAGATTTCACCGAACAATCAAATGAATTTTAAAAGTTTTATGTATTGAAGCAGCCCCTGAGTGGGAGAAGCAAGTTCCCGCAGCTCTATTTGCTTTAAGAACAATAACGCACGAGAGTACGGGATTTACACCTGCAGAATTAGTATATGGTCGAAATCTTAGAACACCTGTAACATTATTATATGAACAATGGATGAATCCTGAAGACGAAGGAAATAATGTTGTTGAATACGTTTTCCAATTGATAAATCGGTTAAAAAAAAAGATGCAAAGAGCTAATGGCTACAGATAAAATGCTGGAAATGCAAACCAAAAGAAAGGTGTGGTACGATCATAAAGCTATAAAAAGAGAATTCTCTGAAGGGGATTTAGTATTAGTTGTATCAATGAGTAAACCAAACAGACTAGTAGTTGAATGGAAAGGTCCTGGGAAGGTTGAGAAGAAATTATCCGAAACTAATTATGTTGTGAGTTTCGAAGAAAAAAAATGACTTTAACCAAGTCTACCATGTTAACATGCTAAAACCCTATCATAGACGAGCAGAATCGGTTAACCTTATGATTACAGAAGATCAGTCTGAAATTGATGATATGGAGGAAAATTTCCCAACAATTGACGCTGAACCAACATTGTTCGATTTTGAGGACATCAAAGAAAACAGCTCCTTAAGTGATAAGCTAAATGAACAACAGATTCAAGAATTGCATGATATGCTGCTGAAGTTTTCAAAAATCTTTTCTAATAAACCTGGAAAAACTCATTTCATAACGCATGATATTCAATTGACAGAAAACACCCCAATCCACTGTAAACCATACAGAATGTCTCCTAGACAACGGATATATTAAAAACAGAAATCGATAAAATGCTTCAGCATAAAATAATTGAAACAGGAGATTCAGATTACACTTCTCCTACGA